TATGCGAAGTGCTTTGGATATTCACTTATAATATATATATATATATATATATATATATATATATATATATATATATATATATATATATATAGGGTCATTTATATAAACTTGTTTAGGAATCACTGAATCACTTATATAAACTTGTTCAGGAATCACTGAATCACTTATATAAACTGATTCAGGATGAACCTAATGGCTAATGCAAACAGGGATTCGCTGAATTGTAAAAGGGATGTGATTCATTTAGTTGAATTCATTTGCGATTCACTGAATAACTTATGTAAGCTGATTCAATATTCACTGAATCACATATACAAACTGATTCAGGATGAACTGAATTTCTAATGTAAACACAGATTCTCTGCGCTGTGGGGATCTGATTCACTTATGTGAAATGATTCAGGAATTGCTGAATCACTTATATAAATTGATTCAGGATAATGTAAACACAGATTCACTGAATTGCTAAAAGTCATGTGGTTTACCTACGCAAAGTAGTTTAAGATTTACTGAAACACTAACGTAAACTGATTCAGGAAGAACTGAATCACTAATGTGAACAGGGATTCACTGAATTGCTAAAGATGATGTGATTCAATTATGTAAATTGATTTGGAATAATGTTAACAGTAATTCACCAAAGGGAAAGTTATTTGGGATGCACTGCATTGTTCATGTAAACTGATTCAGAATTCACAGAATCACTTATGTAGACTGATTCAGAATTCACTGAATCACTTATGTAGACTGATTCAGAATTCACTGAATCACTTATGTAGACTGATTCAGAATTCACTGAATCACTTATGTAGACTGATTCAGAATACACTGAATCACTTATGTAGACTGATTCAGAATTCACCGAATCACTTATGTAGACTGATTCAGAATTCACCGAATCACTTATGTAGACTGATTCAGAATTCACCGAATCACTTATGTAGACTGATTCAGAATTCACCGAATCACTTATGTAGACTGATTCAGAATTCACTGAATCACTTATGTAGACTGATTCAGAATTCACTGAATCACTTATGTAGACTGATTCAGAATACACTGAATCACTTATGTAGACTGTTTTAGAATTCACTGAATCAGTTATGTAGACTGATTTATAATCCACTGAATCACTTGTGCAGACCGATTCAGAATTCAGTAAATCGCTTGTGTACACTGATTTATAATTCAATGAATCATTTATGTAGACTGATTCAGAATTCACTAAATCACTTATGTAAACTTATTCAGAATTCACTGAATCACTTATGTAGACTATTTTAGAATTCACTGAATCAGTTATGTAGACTGATTCATAATTCATGAATCACTTATGTAGACTGATTTATAATCCACTGAATCACTTGTGCTGACCGATTCAGAATTCAGTAAATCGCTTGTGTACACTGATTTATAATTCAATGAATCATTTATGTAGACTGATTCAGAATTCACTAAATCACTTATGTAGACTGACGGGGAGGTGATTCAGCGCTGTCGTTGTGCTCTGCAAGCCTGTGTGTGTGTGTGTATGTGTGTGTGTGTCTGCATGTGTGTGTGTGAGTGAGTTACCTGGCAGCCGTCATGCGTGGGCTGTATGTAGTGTGTGTTGCGCTGCGTCAGCTCGTCTCCGTTGCTGCCCCTGAAGCGCAGTGCGTGTGTGTAGCTGCGCGTGGATCCGTCCAGCCAGCCGGCAGAGTTCTGACACACATACGTGAAGCTCTGACGCGCCGTCGCACTCAACAGCTTCAGGAAGCCCAGCTGCACCACATGAACAGGGTTTCCATCCACATCCACATAGGAGAACTGCACACACACACACACACACACACACACACACACAATGGAACAGTCAACACGTCTCACATTATATCAGTTTACTCCACAGCTCTGCAGAATGCTGGACTCTGATTGGCTGATGGTCACTCTCAGGTGTTTGGTTACTGTCAGATAAAGGCACAGCTAAAGTAGTTCCGGCAGGTTTAGACAGCTCCATATCACACACACACACACACACACACACTCACCTGTGAGCCCTTCTTGAACGTGCTGAACCAGGTTCCGGGCTTCTCTTTGCTCCATGAAGCCATTTTCACCTGTGACCAACAAACACACAACACATATCAGTCCTCTTCCTCAGTACGAGTGTGTGTGTGTGTGTGTGTCTCACCGTCTGCACGCTGCTGTGTGGCTGCAGACACGTCTCTCCGTCAGCGGTGAAGTTGCAGAACACTTTAAAGGCGTCTCTGTGGCAGCCCTGGTTAGGGTCGATCCAGTACACACCTGAGGTCAAAGGTCACACAGCAGCAGAGTTGACTGACACTCTCTGATGAATGAGATGTGCATCAGTGTTCTCAGGCTTTGCTCAACACTCTGTTTTTGCCCCTTCAGCAGTGTTTACAGCCTCAGGTCTTGTTGAATATGACGCCACAGGCTCTGCTCACCTGTCTTTGGGAATGTTTGGCCATTCCTCTTTGCAGTTCCTCTGCTGCAGTGTGTGTGTGTGTGTGTGTGTGTGTGTGTTCTCACCGTCGGGGTACTCCGGGTGGCAGAGCCGCAGCTCTCTGCATGTGCGCGCGGGGCTGTGGAAGGAGCCCAGCGGCGTCCTCAAACCCTCCACATCAGTGCGCATGGAGGCCAGAGACGCAAACACCTCCTCCATCTGCACCTCCTCCGTCTGCACCTCCTCCATCTGCTGCTCCACCTGTGAGCCGGCTTCCTCCAGCGCCGCTCCGTCCACAGACACCTCCACATGCCTGCGCCGCTTACCCAGAGCTGGAGGAGCTGCCATGCCCACCGCTGCAGAGCCCTGCACACACACACATGCAGACACACACACACATACACACACACAGTCACACACATGCTGTAGTATGTCCGACTTCATCTGGCAGTGTGTGTGTGTGTCATTGACTTTGCACTCACCGGGGGTCCCGGGGGTCCTGCAGGGCCGGGGTCTCCTCTGGCTCCAATGGGGCCCTTAAACACAACATATTTGAATCATATGAATCAGTGAGTCATTTACCGGAGACTCACTCTCAACTGATCATATGAATCAGTGAGTCATTTACCGGAGATTCACTCTAAACGGATCATATGAATCAGTGAGTCATTTACCAGAGACTCACTCTAAACAGATCATATGAGTCATTGAGTCATTTACCGGAGACTCACTCTCAACTGATCATATGAATCAGTGAGTTGTTGACCAGTGATATCAGACCTCATCTGTACTGATTTTGTGATGAAGCTCTGTGTGTGTGTGTGTGTGTGTGTGTGTGTGTGTGTGTGTGTGTGTGTGTGTGCATCACCTGGTTTCCTTTCGACCCTTTCTGCCCCATGGACCCCTGAAACACAGAGACTGATTCAGTGAGTTCTGAACAACAGAGCAGATCCAGAACACACACACACACTCATGATGAAGATCAGACTCACAGACAGTCCTGGCGGTCCCGGTGGTCCAGTGAGTCCTGCAGGTCCAACTGGGCCCTATCAGCACAAACAGCACTGAACGTCCTGCTCGTGTATGTGTGTGTGTGAGTGAGTGTGTGTGTGAGTGCGCTTCACCTCGTCTCCTTTGGCCCCTTGTGGGCCCTGGTTTCCTGGCAGTCCTCGATCACCTTTCTCTCCAAACTCACCTGGAGGCCCAATCAAGCCGATCAGACCGCCATGACCCTAACACACACACACACACACACACACACACACATTTGTATGCGCACATTGTATGTTTCTGCTCATGACTCATGGATGTGTGTGAGATGCTGCACCTTCTCTCCTTTCTTTCCCGGATCTCCCTTCAGTCCTGCTAGTCCAGCTGGGCCCTGCACACACACACACACACACACACACACACACACAGAATCATCATCAGTCTGCGTCACATTACACATCAGCACAGTAAGGGTGATTATCAGAGTTACCATCGGCCCGGGGGGTCCGGATTGTCCTGGGGGTCCGTTCAGGCCTTGTTCCCCCTGCAGAGAGAGAGAGAGTGTGATCTTCAGCTTCATTACAGCAGCAGATGAGCAGCTCAGCTCCAGGCCAGCAGGGGGCGCCAGCACACTGACTCTACACTGATTTCTGAAAACCCTGAGGTTCCTGTAATCTACACTGCTAGTTGTGAGAATGATGCAGTTTTCTGTTTTGGTAACTGAGAGACGTGTAATGAGCAGAATTAACCGTTTATTTACGTTACATCAACACGTCCAAAGGAGAGAGACGGCTATCAGAAATGATCATGGTCAAAACTCTAAGCCAGTTTTAATAGCACTATATGCTAGTTTTTAATGTCAAACGGCGCTATACGCTAGTTTTTAATAGCAAACGACGCTATACGCTAGTTTTTAATAGCAAACGACGCTATACGCTAGTTTTAACAGCAGATGGCGCTATAAACTAGTTTTTAATAGCAGACGGCGCTATACGCTAGTTTTTAATAGCAAACAGTGCTATACGCTAGTTTTTAATAGCAAACGGTGCTATAAGCTAGTTTTAATAGCAAACGGTGCTATAAGCTAGTTTTTAATAGCAAACAGTGCTATAAGCTAGTTTTAATAGCAAACGGTGCTATAAGCTAGTTTTTATAGCAAACGGTGCTATACGCTAGTTTTTAATAGCAAACGGTGCTATAAGCTAGTTTTAATAGCAAACGGTGCTATACGCTAGTTTTTAATAGAAAACGGTGCTATAAGCTAGTTTTAATAGCAAACGGTGCTATATTCTAACAGCAGATAGCACTATACTCTAGCTTTTAATAGCAGACAGCGCTATACGATAGTTTTTAATGGCAAACAACGCTATATTCTAACAACAGGTGGCGCTATACTGTAGTTTTTAATAGTAGACATGCTATACGCTACTTTTTAAACAGTATACAGAGGTAGATGCTAGTTTTTGAACAGCAGATGGCGCTATACTCTAGTTTTTAACAGCAGATTGCCGTATTCGCAAAGTTTTATAACAGCAGATGGCGCTATATGTTAGTTTTTACAGCAGATTGCTGTATTCGCTAGTTTTTAATAGCAGATTGCCGTATTCGGTAGTTTTTTAACAGCAGATGGCGGTATACGTTAGTTTTTAACAGCAGATTGCTGTATTCGCTAGTTTTTAACAGCAGATGGCGGTATATGCTAGTTTTTAACAGCAGACAGCGCTCTAAGCGCTCTTAAAAAACTATGCTAAGAATTAATTCTAGAGACTCAGCTCTGGTCTGCAGAGTCTCAGGTCAACAGCCCGATGCTCTTGTGCTTCCGAATGTTCCTGAACCTGCTGTGTGGAAGTGTGGAAACCCCCTGAGGAGTCGAGGATCTCACCGCTGGTCCTGGGATTCCTGGAAGACCTTGAGGACCCGGCTTCCCAGAGGTCCCCTGCCCACCCACCGGCCCCGGCTTCCCTATAATGCCCTCGTATCCCGGAGCGCCCTGAAAGTAGAAAACACAGAAAACATGACCACAAACATGTCTGGCAGCATCAGTGAGCAGATCTTCTTCTCTGAGGTCTGCTGATCAGCTCCTTAAGGTGATTGACAGAAGCAGATGTAAACTCAATGAGGATGGTGTGTTTCAGCTGCTGGCCAGACCTCTGGAATGCATCATCTGCTCAGCCCATCTCTACTCTCACACGTCATTTATTAATGCTTGTTTTATATTTGAAAGAAAATCTGGCTGAATTCCTCAGCATAGTCAAATAATGAACGTTCAGTATATGCAATGACTACAGCAGCACCGGGTCACATGCTCGTCAGTGTGCAAAATGCAGGATATACAGATTAAACATTCATTCAGCTCCTCCCTGATGAGGTATAATGCATATTTAACTGTCTCTTGGGTAATGTCATGTGTTTATTGTGAAATGTGCTGCATATGTTCCAGCAAACGTGTGTAGACTGCTGAGTGTAAGTGTGTGTCGTACACTCAGTGTGTGTCACTCCAGTGGAAGATCAGCAACACACTTTATTAAAGATCAGCTGTTCATGCAGAGGTTGCTGTTAATTCAAGGCTGTTTACATTCACATTATAGCTTAAAATACAACACAACACACACCTGTCGGTCTCTTAGTGGAGGTTAATTATAATATAGCCTATATTTTATCTACGACACAGCCCTGCAGTAAATGAGGTTACTCTGATGAGTTCATATCAGTGCTCACTCACGCCGTGTAGATCAGATAAACATCCGTCAGTAATCCACTCCAACCTTCAAATATTTATGACAAATTTTGATTGCACATGTTGATCAAGGTGTGTGTGTGTGTGTGAGAGAGAGAGAGAGAGAGGGAGCTGAGGAGAACTGAGAACTGGGAACTGAGAGTTGTGGAGAAGCTCATTAATATTCATGACCATTCCAAATATGGTCAATACGGAGCTTCTGATTCAGGGGTATTGTATAGACTATTTCAATCTGGTGATGTCATTGGCCTATGAACATTTCCTGCTCGTTATCAAACTATTTCATTACTGTAACAAGAGACAATTCAAGCATAAGCTAATGTTAAACAGCTCTCATAACATTATTGAGCAATATGTGGCTCTTTCTGAAGCTAGAGAATTTAACAGTGTAAAACAGGAAGTACACCGCGACCATTGATTTGTTTACATCCCTCAAAATGGTCAATAGAGTGATGAATAAGCACTTCAGGAGATTTTTATCAGCTTATTAAAGCATATACCTCCTACTTTTTATCTTTCTATTTGTTAATTGTTTGTCCAGCCCTGGCTGCTTTAAAGCTCAACTCAGTGAGCAGTGAGAAGAGCGCGTCAGTGCTGGATTATCACTGAATCAACTCACCTTGTCTCCCTTCAGCCCCGGCCGCCCTTCTTTCCCAGGAGGACCCAAGTGACCCTAAAGAAACGTGCAGAGCGTTAAACACACAGCTCATAAACACACAAACAGCACTCATGAACACACACTCACCCTCCGCCCTGGTCTACCCGGAGGTCCTGGTTCCCCGAATGGTCCTGGAGGGCCCTGATCAGCACAGTAATGAACAGCAGATTCACACCACTGACACCTCCATACCAGCTGTACAGTACACCAGAACTACACACACACACACACTCACACACACACACACTCACACACACACACACACACACACACACACACACACACTCACACTCACACACACACACACACACACACACTCACACACACACACACACACACACACACACACACACACACACTCACAGGTTTCCCCGGATCTCCAGCATCTCCTTTAGATCCAGCAGTCCCGTCGATGCCCTGAGGGAACAGATGACCTATTTCACCATGCGCTGTTCACTGTGCAGATCTGAGATGAGTGTGAAGATACTCACGTTTACACCCGGCTCTCCAGGAGCGCCCATGTCTCCAGGAAGACCAATGGGGCCCTGTGGAGCGAGAAAGCCAGAGTGGTGTTGCTGTGAAATCTGAATGTACTCTGTTATCTGTATAGCTGTCTTTGTTTTATCTGTGGACATCATCAATTACTGAAATTGTCCTCATCAACTTTAATGAAATACCATAACCTTCCACTCTCAGTCATTTTTTTCACTTCCTGGTTACATGGTGTTCCATTAGGGTGGAGCTATCAGACATTTAGGGCGGAGATATCAATCACTTAGGGTAGGTCTATCAGTCATTTAGGGTGGGGCTATCAGACATTTAGGGCAGAGCTATCAGACATTTAGGGCGGAGCTATCATTGATTAAGGGTGAGACTATCACACATTTAGGGCGGAGCTATCAGACATTTAGAGCGGGGCTATCAGACATTTAGAGCGGGGCTATCAGACATTTAGGGCGGAGCTATCAGTCATTTAGGGCGGAGCTATCAGTGATTTAGGGCAGAGCTATTAGTGATTTAGGGCAGGACTATCACACATTTAGGGCGGAGATATCAATCACTTAGGGTAGGTCTATCAGTAATTTAGGGTGGGGCTATCAGACATTTAGGGCGGAGCTATCAGTGATTTAGGGTGGTATTATCACACATTTAGGGCGGAGCTATCAGTGATTTAGGGTGGGATTATCACACATTTAGGGCGGAGCTATCAGTCATTTAGGGTGTGGATATAAGACATTTACCACGGATCTATCAGTCATTTAGGGCGGAGCTATCAGTGATTTAGGGCAGAACTATCAGTGATTTAGGGCGGGACAATCACACATTTAGGGCAGAGCTATCAGTCATTTAGGGTTGGGCTATGAGTCATTTAGGGTGGGGCTATCAGACATTTAGAGTGGGGCAAGCTATTAGTCATTTAGGGCAGAGAGATTATTTATTTAAGGCGGGGCTATCATTCATTTAGGGTGGGGAAATTATTTATTTAGAGCGGGGCTATCAGACATTTAGAGCGGGGCTATCAGACATTTAGGGCGGAGCTATCAGTAATTTAGGGCAGAGCTATCAGACATTTAGGGCGGAGCTATCAGACATTTAGGGCGAAGCTATCAGTCATTTAGGGCGGAGCTATCAGACATTTAGGGCGGAGCTATCAGTCATTTAGGGCAGAGCTATCAGACATTTAGGGCGAAGCTATCAGTCATTTAGGACGGAACTATCAGTCATTTAGGGCGGAGCTATCAGACATTTAGGGCGGAGCTATCAGTCATTTAGGGCAGAGCTATCAGACATTTAGGGCGGAGCTATCAGTCATTTAGGACGGAACTATCAGTCATTTAGGGCGGAGCTATCAGACATTTAGGGCGGAGCTATCAGTCATTTAGGGCAGAGCTATCAGACATTTAGGGCGAAGCTATCAGTCATTTAGGGCGGAGCTATCAGTCATTTAGGGCGGAGCTATCAGACATTTAGGGCGGAGCTATCAGTAATTTAGGGCGGGACTATCATTAATTTGTTGTGGGGCTATCAGTCATATAGGGTGGAGCTATCAGACATTGAGAGTAGGACTATAGTCAATATTCCATCAACTTTTGTTGTTAGCAACAATTCAGTTGATTTAAAGAATGAATCCACTGCTCTACAGTTTTTCTGATTTCAGCTAAAAAAGGACAATCTTAACTTGATGGCAACTTTAAGTTGAATAATTAATCTGTGCAGCAATAAATGTTCTGTTCATCTTTAATTTTCAGCCTGAGAATCTGCTCCTGTGTTTGGATTGGCTCTTTCTGTTAACGTCAACCTGAGGGTTTCCATAGCAACTGCATTATAATAACCCCTCTTCCTTTTAGTTTGCTATGATGGGGTATGCATAATGATGCTCAAAGGTAAGCCCCGCCCCCTACTCAATATTCAGTTTCAGTTGTAAGTACTTCCACATCATGAGGACTACAACACCCCAGGGCAGATCTTCCAGCACTTGGTGAGTTTGTGTGGGCTACTGCTGATAAACAGAGTGTCCCTCCACAGAGAGATGAGGGTCCGTCACGGCACTGACCCCATTGCCCTTCGCTCCGTCTTCTCCAGAGGCTCCTCGGGCTCCTGCTGAGCCAGCAGCTCCGGGGGGTCCAGTGTCTCCTTTCTCCCCCTGCTCACCCTTCTCCCCCTGACAACACACACACACACACACACACATGCTGCAGTGGTGATACAGCAATAGATGAACCTCACACAGGAAGTTCAGGAAAGCAGGATGGACTCACTGCGCTGCCAGAAACACCAACTGCTCCAGGATCACCAGACTCGCCATCTTCCCCCTGTCAACCATCATCATCATCATTATCAGCTCATGCTAAACATGCTAACGTCAGGATCATCAGGTGACGTACCTTCTCACCGACTCCACCGGGCTGACCTCGCACTCCAGGACGTCCAGGAGGACCCTGAAACACACGTGTGTAAATGTGCTGTTGCTCACTGCTAGTGATTTACAGACCTCCACACAGCGGTCAGTGGACATGACTCCACCTCTACATTAATCTAATTTGCATATTTAAATTAGACATTTGTCTGATTCAGTCGACTATTAGCTCCTCATTCCCAGATCTGCGTAACTTTAGCTTAAACACAAGATGTGTGTGTTTACCTGTCCACCAGAGGGCCCCTGAGCTCCTCTAGGACCAAACTGACCAGGAGGACCCTGCAAACACACACACACACACACACACACACACTGAAGCTGATATCCTCAACATGAGCTGATCAACACAGACCGATCAATCATGAGCTCACCAGCAGACCAGAGTTCCCGCTCTCTCCTTTCTCTCCAGGAGGACCAGGCATTCCCTACACACACACACACACACACACACACACACACACACACACACACACACACACACACAGGTGAGTTTAGTTCGAGTCTTTAATCAGACAGAGGATCAGTGTTGAGTGCTGGTGTACCTGCAGTCCCCCCGGGCCCCTGGAGCCCTTGAATCCTCGGGCCCCTTCGTCTCCTTTCTGTCCGTACATGCCCTGCTGTCCTGTAGGCCCAACCTCACCATCCACACCCTGACACACACACACACACACACACACATACTTAATCACACACTCCAAACACACGGTGAGGAGATGAAGACCCCCAGTTTCCCCTTATTAAACACACTCACCGGCGCTCCTGGCTGCCCCTCAGGCCCCTGAGAGCCGACTGGACCTGGAGGCCCCTGAGTGCAGATTTACATCATCAGTGACACTTGGACATGTGTGTGTGTGTGTGTGTGTGTGTGTGTGTGTTTTAGTTCAGTCACTCACTGATTCTCCTTTGTCTCCTTTGCTGCCTTTCTGTCCTGGAGCTCCAGTTTCCCCCTGACACACACACACACACACACACACACACACACACAATTAAGAGACTTCAGAAGAGAAGCACTTTATCAGCATCTAGACCAGCAGCCTGTAAGTACATTTAAGATTTGTTTCAGTTGTTGTGTATGGTTTGAGGACTTGTTTCCAGCTGTTTGTGTAAAGTTGTAGGACATTTAAACTTGCTTTCAGTTGTGTATAATACTAGAAGTTGTTTAGCCACTGTTTCCTTGGTTACTATAAGAGCTTGTGTAGCGAACGCAAACGCGGTTTCGCGTCGTCCGCCTCAGTTTCGGCCCTTGTTTTGACTCGGGAGGCGTGTCCAAACGCCAGGTAACCACTATATAGCGAGCACGCTAGCATTAGTCGGCAGGAGAAGCACTTTATCAGCATCTAGACCAGCAGCCTGTAAGTACATTTAAGATTTGTTTCAGTTGTTGTGTATGGTTTGAGGACTTGTTTCCAGCTGTTTGTGTAAAGTTGTAGGACATTTAAACTTGCTTTCAGTTGTGTATAATACTAGAAGTTGTTTAGCCACTGTTTCCTTGGTTACTATAAGAGCTTGTGTAGCGAACGCAAACGCGGTTTCGCGTCGTCCGCCTCAGTTTCGGCCCTTGTTTTGACTCTCGAGGCGTGTCCAGCTGAATTCAATCAGCTAGTGCTTTGGGGTTATATAAACAACTAGTTCACCGCGGCAGCGGTCGCGGCAGCCTCGTGTGAAGACCGCCTCGTGTGAAGACCGACGAGGGTAAAGACCATCGACTCTACCTGCGCGACTCCACCGAGCAAAGGCACCGACAAAGCACTTGAGTACTTTACTTTCTTGTTTTACTTTACACTTATTTTTTGTTGTCAGTGCACTTTTATTATGTGTTTTCTAATTCCTGTTGTTACTAACACTCGCAAAACACGGGAGGTGCGCTGCAGGCGTAATCCTCACAACCTTCGTTCAATACATGTATCTACTATTTCACAACTCTCTCTCTCCGTGGGCCTCTGGAATTGTCAATCAGCTGTTAACAAGGCTGATTTTATTACCTCCATAGCTACATATTCTGACTATAATCTCATGGCTCTAACTGAGACCTGGTTGAGGCCGGAGGACACTGCTACACATGCTACTCTTTCTGCTAATTTCTCTTTTTCCCACACTCCTCGTCAGACAGGGAGAGGGGGTGGGACTGGACTACTAATTTCCAAAGAATGGAAATTTACTCTGATACCGTCCCTGCCAACAATCAGCTCCTTTGAATTCCATGCAGTCACCATTATCCACCCCTTCTACATAAATGTGGTTGTCATCTACCGCCCACCAGGTAAATTAGGTCACTTCCTAGATGAACTGGATGTTCTTCTCTCATCTTTTTCTAATTTTGCCACTCCCTTATTGGTGCTAGGTGACTTCAACATTTACGTTGACAAACCGCAAGCTGCAGACTTTCAGACTTTGCTTGCCTCTTTTGACCTAAAAAGAGCACCTACTTCTGCTACCCACAAATCAGGTAATCAGCTAGACCTTATTTACACACGACACTGCTTCACTGATCAAACAATAGTAACTCCACTACAAATATCTGATCATTTCCTTCTGTCTCTCAACATCCACATTACTCCTGAGCCGCCACACACTCCTACACTGGTTACCTTTCGCAGAAACCTACGATCTCTCTCACCCAATAGACTATCCACCATTGTTTCAGACTCTCTTCCTCCATCTCGCAAACTCACTGCACTTGATTCGAACAGTGCCACTAATACACTCTGCTCCACACTAGCATCATGTCTAGACCGATTATGTCCTCTTGCATCCAGGCCAGCCCGTGCCAGTCCTCCTGCACCCTGGCTCTCGGATGCTCTCCGTGAGCATCGCTCAAAACTTCGGGCTGCGGAGAGAATTTGGCGGAAAACTAAAAATCCTGCACATCTCTTAACATACCAAACTCTTCTGTCCTCTTTCTCAGCTGAGGTTACTTCTGCAAAGCAGACGTATTACCGTCTGAAAATCAACAATGCCACTAATCCTCGCCTACTTTTTAAAACATTTTCCTCCCTCCTCTATCCTCATCCTCCACCCGCATCCTCCACACTTACTACTGATGACTTTGCTACATTCTTCTGCACCAAAACTGCAAAAATCAGTGCTCAATTTGCTGCACCTACAACAAACACGCAAGATACAACACCAACACCACACACACTCACCTCTTTTTCTCAGCTCTCTGAGTCTGAGGTGTCCAAACTTGTGCTATCTAGCCATGCAACCACCTGTCCACTCGATCCCATTCCCTCTCATCTCTTGCAAGCCATCTCTCCTGCAGTCATACCAACACTGACTCACATAATTAACACATCTCTTGACTCTGGTTTATTCCCCACTACATTTAAGCAGGCTAGGGTAACCCCACTGCTAAAGAAACCCAACCTGGACCATACGCTACTTGAAAACTACAGACCAGTATCCCTGCTTCCATTCATGGCCAAGATTCTGGAGAAAGTAGTGTTCAATCAAGTCCTGGACTTTCTTACTCAAAACAATCTCATGGACAACAAGCAATCCGGCTTTAAGAAAGGCCACTCAACTGAGACTGCCCTGCTCTCGGTCGTGGAGGATCTCAGACTGGCTAAAGCAGACTCTAAATCATCAGTCCTCATTTTGCTGGACTTGTCAGCTGCTTTTGACACTGTCAACCACCAGATCCTGCTATCTACGCTTGAGTCACTGGGCGTTGCGGGCACTGTTATACAATGGTTCAGATCTTACCTCTCTGACAGGTCATTCAGGGTGTCTTGGAGGGGAGAGGTGTCCAACCTACAGCATCTAAACACTGGGGTACCTCAAGGCTCTGTTCTTGGGCCACTTCTCTTCTCCATCTACACATCATCTCTAGGACCAGTCATCCAGAGACATGGATTCTCCTACCACTGCTATGCTGATGATACCCAGCTATACCTCTCTTTTCATCCTGATGATCCCTCGGTTCCAGCTCGTATCTCAGCCTGCCTGTTGGATATTTCACACTGGATGAAAGATCATCATCTTCAGCTGAACCTCGCAAAAACGGAAATGCTTGTAGTTTCTGCCAACCCGACTCTACACCATAACTTTTCAATCCAGATGGATGGGGCAACCATTACTGCATCCAAAATGGTGAAAAGCCTTGGAGTAACGATTGATGACCAACTAAACTTCTCTGACCACATTTCTAGAACTGCTCGATCGTGCAGATTTGCACTCTATAACATCAGAAAGATCCGACCCTTCTTATCTGAACATGCAGCTCAACTCCTTGTTCAAGCTCTTGTTCTCTCCAAACTGGATTACTGCAACTCTCTACTAGCTGGGCTTCCAGCTAACTCTATCAAGCCTCTTCAACTGCTCCAGAATGCAGCAGCACGAGTTGTCTTCAATGAACCTAAACGAGCACATGTCACTCCGCTGCTAGTCCGTTTGCACTGGCTGCCAGTTGCTGCTCGCATCAAATTCAAAACTCTGATGTTTGCCTACAAAGTGACTTCTGGCCTAGCACCTTCTTATCTGCACTCACTTCTGCAGATCTATGTGCCCTCCAGAAACTTGCGTTCTGTGAATGAACGTCGCCTCGTGGTTCCATCCCAAAGAGGAAAAAAATCACTTTCGCGAACGCTCACGCTCAATCTGCCCAGTTGGTGGAATGAACTCCCTAACTGCATCAGAACAGCAGAGTCACTCGCTATTTTCAAGAAACGACTAAAAACTCAACTATTTAGTCTCCACTTCACTTCCTAATCTGCAATTGCCTATTTGAATATCACACTAACTGTACAAAAAAAAAAAAAAAAAAAAAAAAAAAAAAAAAATTACTAACACTTCCCTTCTTAGACTTTACAGACCTGAAACTTGCCTTTAGTACTTATTCATTGTTGCTCTTAGTGGTGTAAATTGCTTCCTTGTCCTCATTTGTAAGTCGCTTTGGATAAAAGCGTCTGCTAAATGACTAAATGTAAATGTAAATGTAAGATCAACATAATCATCACAGCGGTCACCTATCATTGAGCTCGGAAAATATGCAAATATTAATACGGTAGAATCACATCCCTGAGGGTTAAAGGATTGAGCACACCAACATTAGCACTGGGACAAATGAGTTAATAAAGCACTACAACAACACTGGATTACAGTAGACCGTCACCTTACTTTAGGCTGTGTCCACACATATACAGGTCCTGTAATACACTGAGATTTCATTACCTTTGTTTTTAAAATAATCACTGTCCAGATGAAGACGCATGAGCGCACTGTAATGCATGTTAACCAACAGGGGGCGATGCAACCCTTGTGTGCTGGGCTCACACCAAACACGGATGTTAGTATGAGTTTGACGTGAGTAAATTGCACATGTCAGTGCAGACCTGAGTACAGAGGAGCATTACCACAACACTGAACACATGAGGTGTATTTCACTGCCGTGTTCTCCTCAATCCTGTCTTCTGTGTTTGCTTTCAGGCAACTTAAACTGCGATATCGTGTGGAGAATCTGTGTGGAAGACATGGGGGTGTTGAAATATGCCTTCATCACCTTGTCTCCATCCTCTCCTGGGGGTCCTGGAGGGCCGGCTGCTCCTGGTAGTCCCACAGGCCCCTGCTCACCATCCTGTCCTGCAGGTCCGATCAGACCTTTGTCTCCCTGACAACACACACACAGTTACACACACACACACACACACACACACACATACAGGTCTTCAGGTGTGGAGGCGTGCCTTACTGGCTCTCCCTTCTCTCCCATTGGTCCGGGCCCTCCGCTGGTTCCAGGTCGACCGGGCTGACCAATGGCACCAGCCAATCCAGGGGGTCCTCGTTCACCTGTGGGCCCCTGGGAAGAAAAGCAGACCGATTATTTCAGGGAATATATCCATGAGTGTTGAGAGATTACTTAAGATACTGAGATCTGAACACATACAGCAGGTCCTGGGGGCCCGATTGGCCCCGTCCCTCCCTTTAATCCAACTGGCCCCTACACGAGAGAACACAGGTCACATGACAAACCTGGCCAATCAGAAAGCCTGACAGAGGACAGAAGGTGTTCTTAGGTTACCATGGCACCCGGTGCTCCACGACTGCCACGGAAGCCCTTCAGACCTGTGGGACCGTTCTTCCCGGAAGTGCCTTGACCTCCAGGATCCCCCTGATGACCGAACACACCGAAGTTATGACTGAAGGAAGTCATGAGTGCTAAAAAGGGAAGTTCTTAATGCTCAAAAGGATTTTCTCACCTTTGAACCCTCCTTCCCTGCGGCTCCAGGTAAACCTTGCTCTCCAGCAGGTCCTGGGGATCCCGGGTGTCCTCGTTCCCCCATCGGTCCAGTTTCTCCTGTATTACCCTGCAAAAATACAGAATAGAAAATCAGCTGAATAGAAACGAGTCCTAAACTGCACCTCAGACTGCAGCATACGGCTATAGAGGAGGATATGAACTGTGACGGCGAGCTCACCTGAGGACCAACGACACCGGTTGGCCCTGGAGGACCCGTCTTGCCTTGGAAACCCTGTTGGAAATCAATCCATCAGTACCGAACAGGTAAACAACAGATCATTAAGCAAACATCACACACTCTCTCAGTCACGGAAACCGTCTTCTGTAGTTTCTGTGTTAGACTCACCGGCTCCCCCCGCTGGCCTGGATGACCCGGCAGCCCGTCCTTCCCTGCGGGCCCCTGAGAAGAATAATGTGCTGAGGATGACCCCGAATTTGCTCATATGTGTTGTTTCAGCATGTTCGATGGGTCACTTACATTCGGTCCTTTGGGGCCCATCTCTCCAACACGTCCCTGAGGCCCTTGTGGACCCTGCAGTTCACACGCATATGCATTATGTATCAGACGCCTGAGTGAACACATTCCCTTACATCCATCTCATTACTCACAGTAAACAGCATCCTTAGTGTTTATTTCCAGGTTCAGGTGTTCAGTGTGGACTGGAATATGTGACCCTATGCGTCAGGTGTGTGTGTGCTTCAGTGTGAGTGTGTGTGTTGATGCTTCTGTCAGTCTATGTCTCTCCTGTCTCTGTTCATCTAGAACTCCACATCTATAATCCTCTTAGTCTATGCTGACAATATCTTCAGCAGCTCAAACACTCTAATGGATAATGGACAGGCGGCTGCTTCTCACTCAGGCCTGCTGGACATGCTAATGAGATGGAGACTAGTGGGCGGGGCTTTCCCCCTCTTAATGATGACACGTACAAAGGGAGAATGTCAATCACAGTGTTTCAGCATCAAGTCTGATCAGAACAAACTCAGTTCAGTACTGCTGAGCATTAGAGCTGCTGGAGATACTCACCCGAGAGGCTGATGTGTGTGTGTCTGTGTGTGACACTTACTCTGTCTCCTGTGGACCCCGGAGGGCCATCGTGTCCTGAAGTCCCCTAAAAACACACACCGTTACCGTCATCAGAACAGTAATATGAGGAACACACCGCTCACTGCCGCTCCAGCTCTGACCTTGTCTCCTGATTTACCGGTGGGTCCTCGTGCACCTCTGGCTCCTCGAGCACCCTGACCACACACACACACACACATATAAGTGAGACTGGACAGGACTCGTGTGGGACTCCTCAGCAGTGTGGATGGAGACACTTACATTGGGGCCCCTCTGACCTGCGGCCCCTGCAGGACCCGGTGGACCCTGAGAAACACACACACACACACACACACACACACTCACATCAGTGCACACTGGCGATGCATACATTAAAGGTCTCGTGAAGAGCTCTGAAATGTGCATTGTTATTGGAAGTTTGACGTAATCTCCACGAATGAAGAGAGGGCGGGACATATAGTAGCTCCGCCCCCTTTTTAAGTTTTCTCACAGCTCTGCCAGTGAGAGAAATTGAGCCTAAGTCCATTAAATGAACAGCCAATGAGAAGAAGGGGGCGGGGCATGTCAGACACTAGAGAGCATTTGATTGGTCAGAAGACTTGATGAGAAACTAAGTATGAGGATATACAAAACAATTACTGATCCATTTAGGCCAGGGGTGTTCAAACTCGGTCCTGGACGGCCGCTGTCCTGAAGTTTAGCTCCAACTTCCTTCAACACACCTGCCTGGAAGCTTCTAGTACACCTAGAAAGAGCTTGATTAGCTGCTTCAGGTGTGTTGAATTGGGGTTGGACTAAAATAAGCAGGACACCAGCCCTCCAGGACCGAGTTTGGATGCTTTCGTTTAGGCGGAAGAGACGAGCTGCACTCTGTAGATGTTTATATCAGGGGAGTTTTGCCTCCGTTTTGGAGACTCTAGATTAGAGATATCCTTAAGACTGACACACTGATACTAACATCTAAAATAAGAAGTTCACGGGACCTTTAGCACGAGTCCTCACAGTTCTGTGTTGTGTAATCGTGTCTTAATAATCACCTTCTTTCCTTTTTCTCCAGGAACTCCGACAGCTCCAGGAAAACCATCGCCACCCTGAGAGGAGAGCAGCGGTTATTCTCCTTTACTTTAATTAATGATGTCATCTATCATTCATTCCTTCATCGTCTGCTTTTCCTCATCTCACCTTCTGGCCCTGACGTCCTGGATAACCAGGCAGACCCGGGACCCCCAGCTTCCCCTGACAGGAGAGAAACACACAGGGTAAACCAGACAGAGAACACCAGCAGAACACAGAAATCATGCAGATATCCAAACATCCTGAAATCAACACGAGCAGAACATACAGTGCTGTTTCAGACATGAAGAGTCAACATGAAGAGAGATTCTCCATAAAACAACAAAACAATCTGACAAAACTGTGTGTGTGTGTGTGTGTGTGTGTGTGTTCAGTACAGGTCTCTTTACTCCTTTCTGTGGATTAATGTATGCTATATCGTCTCAGGTGGTTTCACCTTTTCTCCGGCGATGCCTGCGGGTCCAGGTTCACCCAGAGGGCCACTCTGGCCTTTGGGGCCCTCAGGACCGTCCTCACCACGCATGCCCTGGGCCCCCGCGTCCCCCTGATGGAGACACAGCAGACTCACAGCAACTCTTGTGTGTTTTATAAGTGTACTCCCGTGTGTGTTTGTGTGTGTGTGTGTGTGTGTGTGTCATTACATTGTCTCCTTTAGCTCCCATTTCTCCTTTGGCTCCAGGAAATCCGTCTTCACCCTGAACAACACACACACACACACAAACACACACACACACACACACACACACACATACACACACACAAACATCAGTTGATGAAAGTGTTCTGCACAGTGGTGTTCACTGCACATGATGATCTCAGGGCTGAAACACACACACACATAAGCCAAACAGCGAACACTGACTAAACACATCTGTGTTCTCTCCTCGCGTCTGGACCAGAAGCTGCTCGTGAACACACCAGACGGAGGACAGCGCATGAGGAGAGGATCAGTCCTGCAGATCTGCCTGCTCATCTGCTCATCCTCTGCTGACGTCACGCTCGCGCACTGATTCGCTGCTGAATCGACCAATCATGTAGAAGACACCACACAGAATCACTGCACTGACGCTGAGCGATGAACCAGCAAAACTCACAGTCGACCATCAGCTTATATGTGTGTGTGTGTCAGTAGATGCTACAGATGTGCTGCTGTTTGCAGATGATGACTGACCTTCTCTCCTTTACTGCCCTTCAGTCCTCTGAGCCCATCAGCACCCTACACACACACACACACACACACACACACAGAGTCAGTGCAAGTACACTTACACACACACACACACACACACACACATAACTTGCACAGTAAAAAGAAGTACACGCACACACACAAAGAGTACAGGTGCACACACACACACACACACACACACACACACACACACACACACACACACACACACACACACAGTGACAGAGCAATCAGTACTTTGACTCCTCTGGCTCCAGGATATCCCACAGGTCCTTGAACTCCTGCTGCACCCTTCAGGACACACACAGTAAGAGTCAGTGGGATGCACACACACATACACACACACATACACACTGACGCTCGCACACACACACTCACCGGTAGACCCTTTTCCCCTGGCGGCCCCTCTCGTCCTGGATGGCCCTGTGTGCAGTGCATGATGAGAACAGCAGAGGGCAGCAAACAAAACACACACACACACACACACACACATCAGCACAGCATGCATTCACACTCACCGGGGGCCCGTCCACTCCAGGCAGACCCTTCATTCCCTTCTTCCCCTGCGGCCCCTGTGGCACAAACACACCTGTATGAGTCTCACACACACACACACACGCGCACGCACACACAAACTGCTACAAAGGGATCTACAGGGCCCCTATTGAAGAAATCAAGAACCCAAACC